TGTTATTTACAATGATCCTGGGGATATATATTCTACTCTTTTTACAATGAAAAAGATGAAGAAAATGAAGGTATTTTGAAAATGTAAGACAACATAGCACATTTCATTAGCCCAAGGCTTATCTAGCAGTAGCTATAATGGTTCTCTCAAGTTCTACCACACTATTAAAAGTCAAGAAGAGAATCAGAGGTGGTGAGTGATACTGATTAAGAAAAACACAAGTATTTCCTCTCAAAGTACAGCCCCATGGTTGCTATCCTCAAAACATGCTTTGAACCAGCACATTTCTCTCTCTCCATTGGGTAGCCAGTAGTCAGTCACTCTAATCAACTCTTTATTCAACCCTCTTTTCAATTAGGAATCACAACCTCCCAAGCCTGCCTAGCAAAGTTAATTCACCCTCTCATCCCTCTGTAGCACTGAAGCATGTTTACAACTGTAAATAAGACAAAGTATGAGTCAGTGAATACAATATCATAAAGATTCAGGTTGAAACTAAAATAGAAATAGAGCATTCCCCATGTTTATGGGCACTTCTTCATTTTCTACTTGTAGCATGAAAATTGACAATATCTTTTAAATAAAATATATGCTTATATGCACCTTTGCAAAAATTCCAATTGTTCTCTTCTACCTTTGTAAACTTGGCAAGATTTTGCTTCATTTAAGCATAACTTATAACTTAGGTTGATAGGTTTTCTCAGTACTTAAAGGTTTTAATTATACTTCTTTCCTCTAACCTTCTTCAAACCACACAGAATGTCCATCAAATAAAGGTGAAAATGTATTCATATTCATTTTTTAAATTTTTCATATACAACTCCTTCATTTGGGTTACCACTCATACCATCATTTAAGAAGTAGTCTGTTAAAATATGTTCCAACTAAAGCTTGGTGGGTTTTGAATTCTTGATAAAAATCATTCTCTGGAGCTAATGAAGACAGAAACTCTGCCTGTAACAATATTAAGTTTGTTTTCTCTGGTTATTCAGAGAAGTGAGCAATCTGTCAGTAATACACTGAGTGAAATTACTTGTCTTGTAGGAATAACTGCTGACAGTTACTTTATCTCAGGGCTGACCCAAACATCTCCCTGCTGACAAACAAATTACTATATCTAACTTTGAAAAGGTAACTAGCTTGTTTTAATTTTGATTGGTCTTTCATAATCCCTTATACAAATATTCGGTCCCATCTTTCATTGTACATATTTTTAAAAATGTGAACAAAAAGTGTAAGGGGAAGGGGGACATGTTTGAATTAAGAAGGAAAAAATAAAAGCCTTATCATTTAGAGCTAAGAAAAAGAACATTTATGCTTCTTTCCAAGACTGTTATGTGGATGCCAGTAGGAAGTGCGCCTCCCCAACATTAAGACTGGCAGTGCCGCCAGTGACTGACTGGGTGAGTGCACACGTTACCCAGACAGCATTGTAGGAATTAATTTTCTTCAATAAAGTGATTTTTAAGGCTCATATATTTCACAATCTAAACATATGTCACTGTTTCATAAACAAAATAAATGGATTAAAATAATACATTACCAATATGCTGACACATGGAGATATTTTAATTAGAAATTCTTAAACTGTGTGATATTTAACTACTGTATTTGCTGAAGAGAAGCATGCATCATTTAATAAGAAAGCATGAGACAGGTGTATCACTTTGCATATGGTACCAGCTTGTGTTTAACATAAGCTACACCTATGAGACAACATTACTTCCAATTAAAAACAAAACAAAATTACTTTAAGGATCTATCATATTAAAAGTCATCACATAAAATGAATCAATACAGTGAAACCATTTTTTTTTCATCAAAAAGAGTCATTCAGAGCTTAGTTCCTGAGACCATATTTCTTCAGAAACAATCTAACATCATAGCTACTTAAAGGCCATATTTACATGACTACCTCATTACACTGTCCTCTTTCTTTTACATTCTTTTTGACTTACTTAAGGACCAATGCTAACATAGCTGAGGAAAGCAAATGACAACTGGTCTTGAAATTTATACGGGTGAGAGAACTGAAATAAGTAGCAATATAATATATTGTTTACTGTAGCAAGTGCCCTCTGTTCTCCAAAGGTCAAAAGCATTGTAACCTTATAGTTATAGTTTCTGATTGTTCCCAGGGTTAAATACATTATCAAAATTAATGGTTAAAGCCCCTCAACATTCAGATATATGTGTATTCATGCTTCCATCTGCTGAACTGTTCAACTAAAAACAGCATTCCTTGGTCTTCTCTCTCCTAATATTGTGCCCCTGAGGCAGAGAAAACCATGCCCTAGATCAGCACAGTAGTATAAAAAATGGCCTTTTTGTGTCTTACTTATTTTAAAGAAAGAACTAACTAGAATATGCTAATGCAAAGAGGGTCTTTCCACTTTAAATATCTTGATACAAAATTTTAGGCTTCTAGGATATTACTATAAGGGCTAAGATTTACCCAGGCTCATTAATATTAGAAATAACAACCTTTCAAAGACAAATTAACTGTAGAACTACAATTAGAAAAGACCAGTTCTGAGCAATATCTTATGGGGTTTTCCTCCAGAGAATCTCCATTTCTAAATAAAATCATTTAACAGAATTATAATGCTTCCTTGGTATCAATAGTTTGTCTTGATCATCATTGTTGACAGAGCTGTGACATTTTAGCTTGTCACAGGAGAGGAGAAAACTGTAGCTAGAAAAGAAGGCAGAGTTTTAATATCAATAAGGCAAGATATTATTTAAATTTTCTGGGCCAGGGGTTTAGCTCAGTGGTGCCACTGCCGGCCTCACAAGTGCAAGGTCCTGAGTTCGATCCCCAGTACAAAAAAAAAAATTTCCTTCTGCCTTTTCTCAAACTTTAAAATGGTACTGTGTAGCAGGTAGATATAGGTGTCTACTGTGCTACCAAAGAACATGCTGCATTATATCAGGAAAGTTGGGGAACCTGCCTTTCAAACAAGGTCAATCTTTTCTAATCAGTGTACTATTCAAACAATCAGATCAAAGGTTTTCTGAAATTCTGGAAAAAGGTGCAAAACTAAAAACAAGAGAATAGAGCAAAAATAAAAACTCGGGCTGGTGATTTAGCTCAGTGGTTCCACCGCCTGCCTCGCAAACTAAGGACCCGAGTTCCATCCCCAGTACCAAAAAAAACAAAAACAACAACAAAAAAACTCATGAAATTCTCAAACCAGCCAAATTTAAACTGCAACATTATAAAGGTGCTTGCATCAGTGGGTTCCCTATTTAGCCTATCTGGCATCCACTTTGCTTCTACATCAGTGCCACTAACACTGTGCAGCTCTGGCACACTCAGGTACAACATCATGGTTTCCAGAAACCCAGCAGAAGCCAGATTTGATACATCAGGGGGTCAGTGATTACAGGAGGTACGAGAAAGAATAACCTAAGTGAAGAATTAGACAAAAGAGACTGGGTAGAAACCTGAGTACAGGAAGGATGATGGGATAGAACACAAAACCTCAAGAGATCACAGAAGTCAGAGGAGAGTCTTGAGTTTAAGCCAAGGCCACCTGCTTTCATAATCTTCTAAGCACCTAAAAGCTCTTCAAACTGACTTTCAGGAATGGGTAAGCCTACTAACTGTCCTCACATAGAAGAACTTGCTCCTTATGTCCAGTTATCTCTCTTTGTGGCTCTGCTAGACACAGACTTCAAACTGCCAGGAACATGACACTCTTTCTACAGCTAAGAGAAAGCCTTAAAAAGTGATCTCTTCTGGCTGCATAGAAGAAGACAGCAGATACTGTGTCAGTACATGCCTAGTCATGTCCAAGTGGAAACCCCCGTCTATCGCTTATATCAAAGTAAAAGGAAAAAGAGAGGCGGGCAATAAGCTCTGGAACGCTTCCTTAGGCTACTTCCAAGGTGGCCTTTGATCTTGTCTTCTTCCTTCTTAGGAGTGATCACTCCATTGCTTTCCAAATGGACAGGTTCAAAAGCAGTAGAAAAGATAGTGTCAAAGTGAAAATAATTATTTTCTTTTGGAGCGGTTAAGTTACCGATCTTAGGTTAGAATATAAAATTTGGCATTACATATCATCAGAAAATTACAGTGAACTTCAGTCTGAGGTAACCTGTTTCCATTCTTTTTTTACTTTTTGATTCAACAGATAGCTGGCAACCCTCCAATATGTGATAGTCCCAGAGGGGGACTCCAATAGTACAGGCGAAGAATTAAGTATGAAATTAGGAGGACAGGGTCTGTGCAACAGAAAGACACTTGGTTTTCAAAAGAGCCACATCTACTATCTTTTTCCAGGGGGTAAGAATATCCCATAAAACAAAAGTTTTACTGGGAAGTTAAATATCAAAAGGATATTACAGAACTTTATGGACAAAAAGCTACAAGCCAGGCTCACACACCCAACTTCTGCCTGAGAAAACTACATTAGGAAATTTGAATATGGTAAAATTAGAAAGTCTAGGCAATAACCAAGCTCAATGAATAAAATGTAGCCCCGGTTAAGTCTCTTGACCCCTCTGAACCACAGTGCTCCTGTCTCTGTCTCTCTGTCTCTGTGTGTGTGTGCGTGTGTGTGTGTGTGTGTGTGTGTGTGTGTGTGAAAGAGAGAGAATAATATTTTATCAAGTTTATAGCAACCATGTGGTCAAATGGAAGTGTTTAAATGGCTAAGTATTTGTTAAACACTATAAAACACTATATACGAGAAAAGGTAAATGTAAAAGGGAAAGAAAGATGGTTTTAAAGACACTCAAAGAATTCACTTGAAAAAAATACTGTACATATGGCAATAAACAACCTAATTCCTAATTCATGGACATTGGATTGGGTTTTCTTGTTTTCTCTAAAAGAAAAGGAGCAAAGAAAAACCCTTCTTAGAAACAAGAAAAGGGGAGAGAATAGTTTCAGTAGTTAGGCCGAGTGCTTACCACTTTTTAAAAAAGCCTAGAATATGATCGAACAATCCAGTCCCCCACCCAGTGAAGCAAAGCACCAAGGGAAGCATTCATACCTCAATCTGTTGGTGGTTGTAAGAGTGGCCACCACCATGTTCAAAGGTGTCCAAATTCCTGCCAAAACGGTCACTTATGCCCTTTAGCCTTGGGTTAATTTGTGGGTGAGAGACATGACCTTTCTGTTTAGTAGCATATTCAGAAAAAAAAAGACAAAACATACTGTCAGAACTCATGAAACAACATGTATTTCTAAATCCATGGTATTGACCATATCAAAGAATGGAAAGTAAGAGGTTTAAGGCGCAGCCTCTCTGTTTTACAGAAACTTGGTTATAGGATCAAACAATGGCACTGCTTTCTTATTTCTGCCTCTGAAACAAGAGGATATTCCATAGCTCAGCTATAAGAAAAGGGAAAATAGACTAGGTTTACCAATAGGGAGGGTTCATTTTAGTTTTTTACCAGCAGTTATAAGTTCCAAAGTTTGAGTGTAAAAAGTGAAGATTTGCGAGAGAGGCAGGGTTATCGTTCCTATTTGGGGAATGTCTTCATGCTTCCTGAATGCAGCTTATGAAAAAAACTTCTCAAGTACTGCAAAAATTCTTTGTTTACATGCCCAGTTGACAATGTTGAAAGTGATGGCGATTTTTGTGGTACAGTAGCTGCACCCTTTTCAGGTTCAAGTCATATAGAGAATAGCAACATAGAAATAAAAATGCCTGGCCAGATGTTATTCCCTAGATTATTTAAGAAAACTCAAAAATAACCATAGTAAATTTGAAGAATAAAAACTATCTTTAATGAACTTTCCATTGTATTAACTATCATTTTCATGTCTTACCTTTGTGTTTATTATTCACCAAAATATACATTTAAAGTCGATTTCCCATTCAAATGATAGTGTTAAAGGAGTCTAAAGAATATCAAATCCTATTCTACACTTCTTGTTTTACTGTGAAGAATATATGGTACAGACATTTTTCATTCAGTGTCCAAGAGTCACTTTCTCCCGAAGTTTAGCTTTAAAAGACAGACTACTAATCCAGAACTTGGCCAGACACCATGCTCAGACTCTTGGCTCTCAAGAGGATGAGGATACATATATTTAGAAACAATGTGTTCACATTTCACCAAATAATTATCAAGTAATTTGGGAATAACAACTTATTCTATGATCCACAAGAAGGAAAATCTCCAACATCATTCTCTATTTTCATGCTTATATGTAAAAGTTTATAAGAAAAAAGCTAACAGCTAGCCTTTTCAAAAAAACAATAAAAATATGAGTACACAGTACTAAATTATAATGTCATTTTTCCTTTAGAAATAATAGAACTGGCAATTTTCTCTTTGACTTGCAGTATGGTAAGTACATAAGGTGTTAATCCTTCTGAGCTATGCTTTAAAAATTATTTAACATTCAGGCCATTATTTAGCATACAGCTGGTTAGCAGTTTTCCACTAAAGTACTGGCTCATTTCCACATTTTTTTCTGGCACTTACCTGGAGCTGTAAAGGGCTGAGTCCAGAAGCAGCAGCAGCTGCCATTGTTGATGGAATGAACTGTACAGGATAGTTATCACCTGTCAGAAAGAACAATACATACAGGTTTAGACAATGCACAGGGAATCACAGCAGGCAAGTACAAACATGGTCCTTGGATTGCTTGAGCTTTACAACATTGCTCTAAGCCCAAACATCTGCAGAAACAAAAGGCTTAGTTGGGCACAGACTTGCAGTGCTGCCTTGGAACTTTTTGTTAACAGATAGCTGGTAGGCAAACTGGCAAAACATGAATGTGATGTTAAAAAAATTAAATGTGCAATTCAAGCATGTTCACTCCATTACAAATCTTGTAATACATCATTTTTTTAAGAGTAAAAAAAATATCTTAAAGCCAGGCTGACACTCAATACAATGTGAAAGCACTGAAGCTTTTCTATTAAACAACAAAAAGTTTTGGCTTGCTAGGCAAGGCAGAATATTAACAATCCAAAAAAGATTATTAGCTATGGACTGCCCATAACTCTTAAACTTTATTTGATAAAAAATAAAGAGAGCATTTTAAAAATACAACCTCTTCAATAGAGTTTTAAGAACAGCTAATCTTATCTGCCAGCATTCTGTAAAATACCTGGTATCTAATGAGTTGAAACCATTTTTATAAATTAACCTCTAGCATCTTATTATTAGAACCTAGTACATAATCATGCACACTAGGAACTGATCAAACATTCTTTGATGATGACTTGATTAAATAACTACACATTGTATATGGGTTATCTGTACTAATAGCCTGGTACAAATCGAGTATAGTTTAGCAGAGATCAATGTTACATCTTAATGCGTTTCTAACCCCAACCCACCCCTAAATAGGGGACTGAAGTACCTTCTGTAACCTAGGAACATAGTTTCTGTCCAGAGACTTGAAGAACCAAGAAGAAGTGATGAGGAACACATTGTCATAGTGGTAACTGCACTAAAAATTAATATTTGTGGATAAATTACACAATATCAGTGGCTTAATGGAATGTCACTTTGGCTTCAGCTTATTTAAAGTCAGTGTTATGTACTTTCTCTAGGCTATATTTTAATAGGCTGTTTCTCCACACATTTTTGACATTCATAATAATCATGCTGTTTTGCATGAACTTTTCCACACTGAAAGCTGAATGTAATAATGAAGAGACATTGTAGAAAGAACCATAGTGAAAGAGGTTGTTACCTGGAAAGTAGTAAAACCTCTTTTTTTCCTACCTGGACACTACTACCTAGAGTTTGATGCCCCTGATTCCTTGGAACTCATCCTGCTTGCCACATGAAGGGCTACTCAGCTGGCCCAATGTAAATGTTAAGTTGCTTTCACTTTTAACAAATTGTTAGCTTCTAATCTGCACAGTCTCTTTGCATCTTACCCATAATACCTCATCAGACCATTGAGCACAGTGTGTGCTTGTACACAGTCCAGTAACAATTGGCTTCTGATTGCATATGGAGTGCTGCTACAATGCATTCACTAATGCTATATTGTGCTGAGCTCCTATGGAGTAATGTTCAAAATATCTGATCTTGGTTTTCCCCTTCCATGAGGTTGATTTTGGTTTGAAGTACTGTACAAGCTTTTAAAAAAGATAAACAGGCCAAATTATTTTTATAGTAAATGACTGTCACTTTATGCTTAAATAATTCAACTGATCTTCATGATTTTTAAACTAAATTATTTGAAGAAAGAATAACCTAATCTAAGTCAAATAGTATTCTTTGGCTGCTATCTTAGGTTGAAAAAAAATCACAAAATGATGCTGAATTAATGATGTTTCAAAAATAGGGAGAAAAATCATCCATTCCAACCATCAACATGGACTGCCCCTGGAACATTTTAGAGTTTTTCTTTCTTTAAATATCATGCATTATTCATACTAACTCTAAACCACAATCCCCCCCACCCCCATAAGTTTAATACCAGTTGCTTTATTTGTACTAAAACATTTTTCATGTCAAACATATTTTTAAAAATCAAACTCTAAAAGAATTCCCTGGGGCACTCCTTTTTTTCATAGCTGTCATGCTTCTATGCTATGAAATATCTGATTTTTTAAATATAGTTCTTGGCCTGCCACTTAATTTATTAGTATCTCTACCACACCCTATAGTACTCTCCAGCTCACCTGCTGGCTACAGTTTTCTTTCCACTGTTGACAAGCATATTTTTAAAACATTTTTAACCTTTCTGTGGGTTTGAATCTGCATATCTGAATATGTCTTTAGAAAGCTATTTCTCTATAACATCATTGTATCAATAGTAAAAGTAAAAATGAATACATTAGAGCTACAGAGTAAATCACAGAGAATGATTGGAAGACAGAGAAAAGGGAAAGGCAGCAGAGTGAGATATGGGTTAAAAGTAGAAGAGGAAATTATAAGACGGAGAGGGATTTGAGGGTAACATGAAGTTTAGTTTTTTGATAACAAAGGTACATGCTTCCTCAGTCACCTCTAATTCTCTGTGTGCATGAGCTGATCAAGTAAAATTCTTAGTGGCTGACTTGGCAAGGAATCAGTCAACATGTTACAGCAATTTTTTTCAAATTTGTCTCTGAGTTTGAAATGCTTGCGTGAGTACCTATTCTTTTAAAATTTGTACAAAGGAAGATGAAGCCTGTTAGAACAGGTTGGCTTTAGGCACTACAATAATCTGGCCCTTGCTACGTCTCATATAAGACAACCTCCAAAAACAAACTTGAGAAATAATGTCCATTTTGTAAATCCATCTTTCCAGCCTTTTAGATATTCTAACTACTGTTTTTTATCTGGAATTACAGAATACAAGACTTAAAACCTATGGAAAATCCGCGTGATATTACTTTCACTTGTCAGAATAGGCAACAGTCCTTTAGTCCTTTAGAATCACTGATAGAGTCCCTAAATTTTAAAAAAGTGAATTCTTAAATTTTAAAGAAACTGAAATGATGTCAAAACTTAGTAGGATTTAATCACAGGAGACAAAGAGCTTGTACCAGAACCTAGGATCCATTAAACTCAGGCTACCTCCTGCAAGAAGATTCCTAATGTATAATTCAGATATAAATTCTATAAAAATTCTATAAATTCTCTACAAAGAGTCAAAAATCTCATGGGTAAAATTCTGCCCATTTACTTTCATTATTCAGAAAAAGACTTGTAGTATCCTGAGATATTAACTTCAGATACTAACATGCTACAGAGGTCATTTGGAGAGATTGAGTATAGTAGAAGAGAAAAAACAAAATTAGGAGACAGAACTCATGGATTCCTCAGTAGCTGTCCCCAAATGGGAATCTAGGGTCATATCTAAATTCCCACCCTTCAAAATAGGAGACAATTATGCTACATATCCTTAACTACCTCATAAATTTTGGTGGTGGCATTATAGATGATAATAAGTTGCCAAAAATTGACAGACCCCATCTTTATGAGCTATTGTCATTCTTGCTACAATATGGAAACATATGAATCACAGCCAGTAACACAAAATTAGACATACTATATATACGGGTCTTGCCTGGATGGACTACTCAGAATAGTAAAATATTATATATACTCTATATTCTGAGAGAATATTATAAGACTGAATTTATCTTTTTTGCAGCATTACACTATTGCAAAAGCAGGAACTATGTGATACATTTAGAATTCTAAAAATAAAACAAATTCTTCGATTTCTTCCAAGACAAATAGATCACAAAATTAGAAAAGATTATGATACATATTGCTGAGATCACCATGCTTTTATTCTCCTGCTGAATTTTTCCTTTTCTATTCATCAAACATCAATGAGGAGAAGATTTTTTGATCCCAGGATTTTTTTCTAAGATCATCTGTACTGTTTTTCATACCTTTAAAGAAGCCAAGGTTTAATCTTAATTCCTTCAATTATTTCATAGATGCATCCAGATCCTTTGAAGTCACTTGGAAATCCAGGAAATTTGTCACAATGACAATTAAGTGAGTATGAATGAACTGACATAAATCTATCCCCATTATAAGAAATCAATTTAAAAAAAACAAAGCTCATGCCTTAATGATAACCATCAGTGATATAGTCTTCATATATGAAGACAAAGTTAAATAATTCTTGACGTAAATAAAACTGGGTTAATTTATGCAGCTAAACATATCTTCTTCTTGATCTCAACATTCCTATTTAAAATTAGGGATACTAATTGAGGCATTGTAGAAATGCTTTATTTCCTACTAGTTGAATTTAGCTGATCAAATATTCCAATATTGGTTGCCTCTGCTTTCAAATATTCTGGGAGAGAGAAATAGCTGCATTTATAAGATCTTATTTGGATAACCTTTCACATAAAAATCATATTTTTTTCATACCAAAAATGTCAGATAAGAATTTTCTTAAGATCACATACATACAATCCATGACTACAAACATATGAAACATCAAATCAGAGAACTTTAGTCTGAATTCTATCTCCACTATTTTCTAGACATGAAAGCCTTGGAAAAGTTCATTAATATTTTTGAATTCTAGTTTCTTCTTTTTTTTTTGGTACCAGGGATCGAACTCGGGTCCTTGTGCTTGCACAGCAGGCAGCGAGACCACTGAGCTAAATCCCCGGCCCTCTTCTTTTTTTTTGATAAAGTAGAAATATTACTACTTAATACTTCTTACATTTTGTTATGCAAATTGAGACTGCTTAAGCACATGAGGCTTTCTTGGCAAATCAATCCTGCTCAAAAAAAGAAACATCAGATAACAATTGTAATAACTGTATACAAACCAATTAAACCACTTAGAAGGAACAGAAAAATTATTTGAAATGCAGAAATTACCTAACTGACTCAAGCTGAAATAGAAAATCCCACAGATCTATAACAAGTAAAGAAATTGAATCAGTAATCTAAAACCTAGCAACAAAGAAAAGCCCTGGACTAGATGGCTTCACCATGAAATGTGCCAAACATTTAAAGAAGAATTAACACTAATCCTTCTCAAACTTTTTTAAAAAACAGAAGAGAAAAATTTAAAAAACCTCTTTATGTGTTCTATAAGGCCAAGATTATCTCAATAGCAGATAAACATATC